CCAATCATGTCAATTTGAATTTAATGAGAGATTGGCCTTAATTTTCCCTCCTATAATTGATAGTCTAGGATTGACAAGTCATAAAATACTCCAATCAAGTCCCCATCAAAGGGGCCGACCCCTCCCTCTCTCCCTTTCCCTTGTTACTCCTCCCAATTAAGTCTCTCGATCAATTACTCCAAATTAACTTCAGATTTGGGATTTGATTTAATTCCTATTTCCTTAATTGAGAGATCATAATTGGCAACTCTATTCAATCAATCATAACACCCCAATCATGGCTAGCTTGGTTCTACATTAGGGGTGTAAACGAGTCGAGTCGAGTCGAGTTTTGGCCCTTATCGAGCTCGGCTCACTTACACCCCTATTCTACATCATTAGTTCGCCTAAAAAATGAACTAAAATGATTTACACTACATTTACTTTGCATTCCTTTTTCTTCCAACCAAACAACAAAATTTTCAAAACCCTTAAATTCAGAATGCTTTACACCCATTTTACTTCCAACCAAACAACCCATAAATTAAAAAGAGTTAGGAATTTCATCTACAACCATAATTGGGTGTGGAGTTTATTGAGATCATTTACTAATAAATATTTTGTTAGATCAACAATCACAGGATTCGCTTAGGCTTATTTGACTTTACAAAGCATTCTTAGAGTGAGAAACCAATAAGCGAGAATGTTTACATTTCAATAATATAATGATAATGCATGGGAAAAAAATAATATGAAGGTGAGGAAGTGAAAATAATTATCTTAAGAGATGATACTTTTCGGCAGAGTATCATTTCTGTTCTTAAAACCACAAAAGCCTTTTGTTGAAGTATTGAGAAAGGTTGATGGTGAAAAATTTCATGCAATGAGCTTTATTTATTATATTATAGAAAAAGCAAAAGAACAAATAGCAAAGAACTTTAGGTGGAGAAGAATTAGCTTATAAAGATATGTGACAAGTTATTGACAAAAATGGGACAACCAACTAAATCATGGTTTGCAGTTAAAGTCAAAAGTTTAACACGTTTAGTTTATGTATGTGAACGAAATTGATGCACATTCAACCAAGTACATATACAGAGAATTAATCATTTGGCTATGGCTAGGATTAACAAATTGCATTAAGTTAATTTCATGAAAAGATGATGATCTTCTAGTTCTTGATGATTTGCTAACGAAGGAGTGATTAATCAAGAAGAACAAAATAAAGAAACGAAGTGCTAGTGGATCATATAATAATGAAGATATTGATGTTTATGCTGCTACAACAACAACAAATCGCTAAAAGCTAATGTCTTTGCATCGCATATTGCTTTCTTAGAATCCTTACGAGCCACTTTATATAATTCCCAATTATCAGAATTTTTAAAATTAAACCAATTTTTATAACAGATGTTTATGCTGCTAATGTAACAAAAACTAGTGGAAGTTCGCAAAGAACCACCAAACACAAATGAGATTAAATATCAAATGACTCGCAAGGTTGGTAAAGTATATTCATTAAGAAATATGAAATAAATTGTTAGTTAATGTTTTATTATTATGAGTATACTTATTATAATAATCCTGACACAAGAGAGATGAAATCAATAATTTTGGACAAGGAAGACATGAATGGGGCGACTCACAAAAGAATATTGGGGAGACTGATAGAGCTATTAGATATCACAATATAAAAGATCACTACAAGGAAAAACGGACAATTACGGGAGAAATACCAGCAGAAATTATCCGTCGGAATTTCCGGTAGTTTTGTAGGTCGCTCATGCGTTGGTATTAACCGGGGTATGAGCTGCCAGAAATTCTGCCAAAACTACCGACAAAATGTTTTAGGTGTTTATTCTGTCAATTATTTTACTTACGCGGTAGCTAATCCGACAAAAATTTCAATCGATTTTTACGTAAATATTGGCGGATTTTTCCGCAAAAAAATACTAATTTTTATGTTTTCAAAACTCGAAACTTCTATTCAATCTTTAGAAATTTGAGTGCTTTTATGATGTATCTTTTATAAATTAAGGTTTTGTTTATTTTATAAACTTGATATTTTCCAATTTTTCGTACTTCTATGATTTTTTTGTTTTTCATTTGAAAACTACACCTTGATTCACTTTGAGATCTTTGTTTCAAGTCAATTGGGAAATCACCTCAATACCTGATATAGTTTTTTTAATCATGTTTATGTGTTCATAGTTCATCATTAAAAATTTTCTCATATTTTGGAGGTGATGTTGGACATTTTGGTAGGGATAAAATATATCAATAACGAAATTTGAAAAGAGGTGCAACATGTATTATTTCATAATATAGGACTTGTTTGCGTGCTAAAGGCAAAAAGTAGAATACAGGGCTATAAATGCCTCTAATAATTCCATCTAAATAACATGAAAAAAAAACTGGTATGGGTTTTGTATTAGGTTTACAGAAAATACCGAGTAAACACATTTCTATTTTTATAGTAAAATTATATTTTAAAAACAACACATTTTGCACAACAATAACAACAACAACAAGCCTTTATCCCGTTGTGGGGCAAGCTACATAAATCATTTTTCTCCATTGTGTCATATTAAGAGTCAAATTCTTATTTAAATCTAATAAAAAATGTCATTTCTATTATTTTCTAACCAAATCTTTTAAAGTCTACCTCCATCTTTCTTAAAATAAGTCAAATCTAATACATCTACTCTCCTAACCAAGTCATAGGAAGGCTACCTTTTTATGTGACTGTTAAATCTCAACCTTACGATCCCGAAGACATCCACGGATGTGAACAGTAATCCGTGGGAGGACTACAAGGATTGCATTAATTCCTCCCATTGATTTAGGAATAATTATATTCATATTATTATAAGAGTTATTTGTTTCCTTATTGATATACCTTGTATAGATCTATAAATAGGGAGTAGATTGCTTAATAAAATTCAAGCTTTTCCCTCTCGTTCCTCTCAATTTAACAGTGACCAAACCATCTACTGAGACTCTCTCTAATCTTATCTGCCACTGAAGCTACTCCAACCTTTTCACGCATATGCTCATTTGTATCATGTCTCTAAAAGTAAAGCTACTCATCCACCTGAGCATCCTCATATCTGCAACACGTACCTTAATATTATGCTTCTCTTTTAATAAAATAGTTGAGAGAATGGTAAAGATATTTAAAATGCCTTAAAAGGTACTCCCAATATTGGGAGTGTAAAATAGAGGAAATAGAGTAGTTTGCCTTTTTTTAATATTTTAATATTTGATTTAAAATACCCCAACATGTACGTTTTCCTGACAATTAAAAACTAGCTCAAATTGTATGAGTTTTGAACTGTTTATTATATATGTTCCTTCACCAAAATCTAATCACTGAGTTCTACTCATCAAATACCCAACCCATCTCCATGTTGTCTCCATCTATCTACCTCGTCAAAATAGAAAGCACCTATGATGCACCGACACTTCTCCTCAAAGAGGCGTGCAGTGTCCACACTGTATCCGACACGACACTCGTCCGACACTCCTCCGACACGTGTCGGATACGCCGAAAATGTGTCCGATTTAAAAAATATTAAATACAAATTGGACAAGCATGTCTTAAATATTTTATGAATTTTTTAAAAATATAATTTCTTGTATTTGGCGAGATTTAAACTAAATTTCTTATTTTCTATCCACAACACCAAATCAACATCCGCACAAATACACATGCATCGAATATTCTCATTTTCATTTCTCTTTGGCAGTGAAGGTATTTTCTTCTCCTCTTTCGGTGACTGATAAATGGCATCAATGCATGACTCTCGACATCCTAATACTAATCATTTTAAGCACAAATTCTAGTTAAATGAGTTATTATTTTTAAAATTATACTTATTGAATTTTTATACACTATTTTTTAAATATAAAAATTATAATACCGTGTCCAACCCGTGTCCGTGTCCTATATTTTCAATAATTTAACGTGTCCTGTGTTCGTGTCGTGTCGTATCTGTGTCGCCGTGTCCTTGTCTGTGCATCATAGAAAAGCACAAATAAAGCATATTTCCTATCATGCCATTCCTCCACTCGTAGCCCTTGCACATAGCCTCCATTATTGATCAACATTAGATGAAATCACCAATCCCAATCTTCCTTCGCTTGATGCTCTCAATTGCATCCCGATGTCACTCTATCTTCACTCTATCTTCGACAAAATCGACATTTCCTGAAGATTCCCTTTGTCACTTGAAGGATAAACTTCACAGATTGTGATTTTCCTTTTCCCACCTCCCTATCTAAATCTTATTCAAGTTCATTCACAATCTTCCACAACTCTTCGCACATGCTTGCAAACCTCAGTGCCTTGGTGGACTATTATAATTTTGTACTTTACACTCAATCAAATAGAAAAATAATTCATTTACACTTACTTTAGAAGCAACCAAACAACTATCGTAATCTAAAAATAACACATTTATTATATATTGTATTTGTAAAATACATGCATTAAATATATCCAACTAAATAACCTTTTAATAGTTTGTGATCGATAAAATAAATATCCCCTCATTCTACTTATAATGGAAAGCCTAAGCTTCAACTGTCCATCATCAATTATTGTTTAATTTAATTGAAATATGTTTCAACCTCTTCATTCAGTATAAATTAATGTTAGTTCAATTAAGGATTGGCTCAAAAAAAATTTAAGCTAGATCAAAATCATTCAAGCAAACTCCAAAACATGCCATGTCAACCTGAGTACCTTTAAAGTAAGGATGTGTGAGCCCTGATTCATGCTTGAATCAGATGTTTGGGGCCAATAATGGACTGGCTTGAACACGAATCGTTCTTGGTCTTATTAAAGGGTAAAACAATATTATAATGATAACGATGAAAATCAAGTATAGTAGTAATATTATAGTGTACAGTCAAGTATACTAACATTCAAACTTTCAGTTAGTAGCAACACGTATCATAACAAAAACATGCACGTGCAAAAGATATTCCCACTAGTAATAGATTATAAAAATACTTACAACAACAGTACGAACAACACCTCCACTGGCACCATCACGAGCAATTGCAAGAGAGACAGCCTTTACCACTAATTTCTGTCATAAAAATAAACGTATTATCAAAAAATTTCTCCAATGGGAACCAGATAATGATCAAGCAATCGTTATGTGAAATAATGTCAGCTTATCAATATTAAAATCCTGCCTCTATTCTGCAATAAATCAAAATAATTTATACTTTACACATAGCAAAACCGCTTATAAAGCATCCACATTTCTGGAGGGGCTATGCTTAAAGCCCCAAAGATACTTTCAGTTTTAAAGATACCACATCAGCACAAATACGGCACTTGAGGTAGTAAATACCTTGCTTTGCAAAAAAGCATAATAATTAGAACATAATCAACAATACACAATTCATTTGATAGCTCAAAACATTCTATTAAAAAATATTTGAATACAAGTTTCTTTCATTGCATTTATAATGTTAACATAATAAGTTATAAGAATAGCATGTAAATAATTGCAATGCCCCACTGTATGAGTGCGAAGTTCTCAAGATTTTGCATATTTTAATACCAAGCTTGAGACCAGGCTCAACAAACATGCTTCATAATATGTTATACAGTGTAGCTGGGCTAATACCATCAAAGCTGCATGGATTAAACCAACAAATATCATCAAAGTTGAGTGGCCTCTTGGTTCATATACAAGAGCTAGTTCTGTGTATACCCAATTTATTCATGTATATGAATTTCTTCCATTACATAAACAAATAATGAAGAACAGATGCTGAGCAGCAAATCTGGAAGGAAATAATTTGTTTAGGGTTAATAATAAAAAAAATAAAAGCCAGAACTATTTGTTTCCAATATTTACATGATGGAGAAGATTTATTAGGATTAGATGGAGGCATTTAAATAATATTAACAAAAATATTTTTGAGAATAAGAAGATACTAGATCTTAAGATTTTATCTATGCATGAAGAAGCTAATGTTATGTATGAAAAAGTAGCAAGCAATATTAAGAACGTTGCAAAAGATGTGATTGGATTATCAAAGGGAAAAGCTCCTAATAGTAAAATAGTTGATGATGGAATCAACATGTTCAAGAAAAAATAAAAAATAAGAAGATATGCTATAAAAATAAGTTTATATGTAAAAATTCTGATAATTGGGAAAGACATAAAAAGGCCCATAAGGAGTCTAAGAAAGCAATATGCGATGTAAAGATTTTAGCTTTTAATGATTTATATAATAGATTAGATACTAAAGAGAACGAAAAATATATGTATAAGTTAGTCAAACAAGAGATAATAGTAGTAAGGATTTAGTTCAATTGAAGTGTAGTAAGGATTTAGTTCAATTGAAGTGTAGTAAGGATGAAGATCAAAAAGTGTATTTATTAGGAGAAAATATTCAACAAAGGTGGATGAGATATTTTTATAAACTCTTCAATGAAGATTATGAGAATGCAATCGACTTTAGTGACCTTAGCACCCTAAATGAAAATATATTTTTTTGTTCTTATTGGTGTATTAATAAAATTGAAGTTAGAGAGCCTTTAAAGAAAATGAAGTGTGGAAAAACTATTGGACCTGATGATATTCCAATAGAGGTGTAGAAATGCTTAGGAGATGAAGGAATTTCTCGACTTACTAAACTTTTTAATATTATTTTAAAGACTAAACATATGTCAGATGAGTGGAGAATGAGTGTGTTAATTCCTATTTTTAAGAATGAAGGTGATGCAAAAGATTGTGCAAATTATATAGGAATTAAGTTAATGTGTCATACTTTAAAACTATAGGAGAGAGTTATGGAGCATAGGTTGTGGTATGATACTAACATTTCTCAAAATCAATTTGGATTCATGTCGCGTAGGTCTACTAATGGAAGCTATACATTTATTGAGGTTTGATGGAGAAGTATAGAGAGAATAAGGAGGATCTACATATGATATGTATTGATTTAGAGAAAGCATAAGATAAAGTTCCAAGAGAAGTGCTATGGAGAGTTCTAGAAAAGAAAGTGATTAATAATGCTTATATTTCAGTCATTAAGGATATGTATGCAGGAGTTACTTGTGTTCAAACATATGATGCACCGACACGGACAAGGCGACACAGACACGACACGGACACCGGACACGACATTTTTTAAAAATATAGGACACGGGTATGGCATGGACACGGCATAATAATTTGTTAATATAATCTATAGAAATCAAGGTGACATTATATTAAAAATGACAAGCAATAATAAATCAATTTCATTATAGCTTGTTTAGCTTATAATATAAAGATGTTTAGTACAAAATGTCTATCATTCAACATAGAAATTATAATTTCATTTATATCTTGATTATTCATTATTTTTATCTAGATAACATTGTAACAAACCAATCATACTTAGGAATACATCAAGTTAAATTGATATTAAGTGAAATTAAAATATCTCAATAATAAGACAACATGAATACAACAATATACCGGTCTGCCGGGGTCCAAGGGGGGCGCTGCCCCCTGGGCGGGGTTCGACAAATTTTTAGGGTAAGAGTAATTTTGAAGTTTTGCATGTTTTTAAGAGTAATTTTGAAGTTCTGCTTGTTTTTAAAGTTCGTAAGTTGTTTGTATGGAAAGATACTGAGCGGTACCGAGCATGTACCGAGCGATACCTAGCGGTACTGAGCTGACAAAGCATGTACCTAGCGATACATAGTGGTACCGAGCATGTGTCTAACGATACCGAGCATGTAACTAACGATACCGAGCATGTACCTAGCGGTACCGAGCATGTACCTAGCGATACCTAGTGGTACGCGTGTCCGGTTTTAATTTTAATTTTTTAAATTGCGACACTCCAATGCCGTGTTGGACGTGTCCATGCAGTGTCAGACGTGTGTCCGTGTCCGACACTGCATACCCTCTTTAAGCGGAGTGTCGGTGCCTCATAGGTTCAAACACAAGGTGATTTGACCAAGTATTTTCCTATTTCAATTGGATTACATCAAGGATCAACCTTAAGCCCAAGCCTTATTGCTTTAGTCATGGATGTTCTCACTACACATTTGCAAGAGGTTGTACCCTGGTATATATTTTTTGTTGATGATATTCTTCTTGTTGATAAGACTAGAGAGGGAGTTGAAGGTAAACTTGAATTATAGAGATGAACCTTAGAGTCTAAAGGCTTTCGTTTGAGTAGATCTAAAAATGAATATATAGAGTGTAATTTTAGCAATAATAGTTCAAGTGGGGAGATTAGTCATTAATAAGAGTACATGTTTTAGATATATTGGGCCTTTTGTTCAGAGTAATGGTGAAAGAGATAGGGATATTATTATTAGAATTCAAATTGGATGGTTGAAATGGAGCAATGTATCAGGCTTGTTCTGTGATTAAAAATCCCCCTCAAATTCAAGGGAAAATTCTATAAGATGGTGGTTAGATTTGCAATGCTTTATAGGTACAGAATGTTGGTCATTAAAAGAGAAGCATAATATTAAGCTAAGTGTTGCAGAGTTGATGATGCTCAGGTGGATGAGTGGCTTTACTCTTAGAGACAGGATACGAAATGAGCATATACATGAAAAGGTTGGAGCAGCTCCGGCGGAAGATGAGATTAGAAAGAATCGCCTTAGATGATTTAGTCATATAAAACGGCAGCCTTCTGATGACCCGGTTAGGAAAGTAGATGTATTAGATTTGACTTATGTTAAGAAAGGCAGAGGCAGACCTAAAAAGACTTGGTTAAAAAATACTTGAAATGACCTTTCTTTATTAAATTTAAATGAGAATTTAACTTTTAACAAGGCACAATAGAGAAAAAGGATTCATGTAGCCGACCCTGCATAGTGGGATAAAGGCTTGATGTTGATGTTGTTGTTTGGTAGGAGATTTACTAAGCTGAATAAGAAATACTTTATCATACCTCAGCTTCATCCTTGCTCATCCCTTCCTTCCACGCTTGATCAAAAAATCCATACAAATAACTGGAACCAGAACCTGCAAATTATGCAAGTGCTTTATATTATTTACACAATGACTAACAAATACAACATAAACTAAACATAGAGCTAAAATTAATATCACAAAATAAAGAAAAAAAATTAAAGCGCCAGGAGACTCCCTTATGATTTCAAATGACACTCATTTATGTGAGACAGAGGAGAGGTTGAAGTTGGTGCTGATTTAGGATTAGTTTATTTGAATAACCAAAAGACATGTAGCCTTTTACTTTCTAGGGTTATACAAATGATCACTACAACCCTAAATCTTTCTTCAGCTCATCTATTAATTCTTGAAATAAAACTTCAAAGTACACAGAACCTAATTTTCTGCTCTGAAAAAACAACTACTTTATCAAACCATCTCATTCTCCAGCATTATTAACTATTTGCGATCCAGTTTTTTGAAATTATAATTAATGCATCCATCAGGATCCTTCAATCTTTGGTACTTATAAATTCTTGCTAATTATATCTTTATCTTCAAAAGATTATTATTTGCTTCAGAGACTGTTTCCAATATGAATAGCATTCATGGCTGTAAAGCATTTATGGAGACTAAAGAGGACTCAATGATTCAATAAATGGAAGCAGGAAAAAGTGTCAGCTTTGTAAGATTTGTAGTCATAAATTTCCACTTATACAACTGAAAGTGAATGAGTGACCTCAACACCAGATGAAAGAATGGAAGAGAAATTCTTTCTAGTGAAAGATGTTCTACAACAATTGCCGTTCAGGGAGTTTGGTGTGGTAGCACGAGTCAAGAGCACAATAATTCAATCATTTGATCATTGCATTGGTGAAGGTAGAACCTAAGCACCTCAATTAAGCAACAATTAGGCAACTAAATCAACACGAGCATTGACCACATGACCATAGGGAGAGGAGACGAGTTCTGCTGTGAAGTTGGGGAATTAAACAGCTCAACTGAATAAGGAGATGAGAAAGACTTAACTAAAAGTTCAAAAGTGAGACCTGTGAGAACGTGAATCTAGGTTGTGACAAAAGATCTTGTAATAGAGGAAAATTTTAAGTGATAATTAACTTAAATTAGAGATAAAAAATTCATAGCCACCGCTTGACCTTAAGAGATTTGAAAAAATAATGGTTCTACTTTCATTGCTACATTAAAAACCTCATAATTTCCTGTGTAATAAGTGAAACTTTCTCATCAAGTAAAAAAGTGTGAGCAATATTATTTTCATCATCTCATGATTTTCTTAACGATTTCTCATTACCATCTTCTTCTCAATGAATCATAGAATTCTGGACTTTGATATTTATGATCACTAAACTCAGCCTCGTCTTCGAAATATTACTTATTTTTTGCTTCGTAGATGGATCTTTCTTCAAGTTTACAAGTACCAAATTGAATCTCATTTTACTTGTTCAATAAAATGTTCTTTGATTTCAACTTCAAAATACATTTCTTCATTTGACATACATATTTGTCTATTTTTTATCTAGAATCTTCTCCATAACATCTTGTTACTGGCCTAGAGATTTGAACAAGTTCATGTACAGCTCTCCAACTATTCATGCTGACTTCAAGCCTACACAACTTTACAGCAATCAACAAGGGGCACTAAAGTAAACCATCTTACAGGGTAAGAAACAAATTGATGTAGGAAGGGGTAGGTTTTCTATATGTCCTGGGAAGTTCCATGATTCTGAGAAATTGATGTAGGGAAATCTTTTAAAGTCACACTGATACGATTCCTACAAAAACCTCCAATGAAAAAAATTCCCTTGGATTTATAACATTTTTCAAATGAGGGTTACAACTCTTAAAAATATATAACACTCAATTATTCCATAAGAAAATATCAATTAAGACTATTGAGTTTGTTTTCAGCATAGGCAAGTTCTACCCTACCACCCGTACCACGAAACTTGTTTCTTTTCTGATGATTTTCGTGAATGAGAAGCAGAAAAGTCACGAAAGTGCAATGCTGTGTCATTTGGCACAATTTCATAGTGTGTTGCGTGTCATGTGCATGAGTAAGCCTTACAAAATATGGTCTAATTAATATAAACCATTAATAAAACTATAATGACCGTATGACCAATAAAATTAAATCAAATAAATAGGAAAAAAGTTTATTTTGATACACAACATTCAATGCCAAAGTAAAAATTATCCGAGCAAAAGTCGTAACTTGAAATGTGTAATGTGCATTGATTTGATAAAAGTTAAAAATATTTCAAAATCGTGCTTGCCATCACATTCTCCATAGGATTGTTGATGGAACTCATACATATTTTTTTTTAAATTTATTTTCTTTAGTTTGATGCGTGTGCATGTTGCCATGAAATGTTATAGTTTTAAAATGATACTCCATCTTAATAGCAACTACTAATGTAGCCATTTTGAAAAATAATGAGGAAATATTTGAAACTATTGAGTATGGTTTCCCTTAATCAAGAGAATTGAGTCTCACTTATTTGATATTAGAATGAGAGATCTTAAAGTGCAAAATCAAATCCTTTTTGTTGCTTATTTTAGACACTTCAGTGCAGTGTATGTCAACATAGGAAGCCAGAAGGAAATATCCTACGTAGACGTACATCAATTCTTGTGACATGAAAGTACCACTACTGCTGAATGCATCAATTGCTGCTTAGGAAGAAACGGAATTTCTAGTGTGAAATATCAATTCATTGGGATAAATAATAGAAAGAGGATGAATGAAAAAAAAAAGGAAGCTAAAAGTTTGATAGGAACAGAAATTGTGAGCATGTGGATGAGTAGGAAAATTTTTTAAATAGCTTCTAGTTGTAGTATGGGTCGCTGCTATCTGTAGTGCAGCATGCATGAGAATTGCATCACCAGAAAGACTAAGCATGCCACTCAAGGCTCCAAACAATAAGGCTTTGGAAACTTTTTCCTAGAACATATGGAGGAAGTAAGAAGGATGCCAAGGCAATCTAGCATAAAGAAGATATTATAAAGAGAGTCGAGAAAGAACCCCTCAATAAATAACAGCGTGTCCAATAAAGCAAGTATCTTCTCGTTATGTCAAGTTAGAAAGCTTCTAAAACACGTTTCATATCATATAAAATACAGAAGAGGATTCCAAGCACAATTCACTCGGGAGTAGATGGCCCCACTTTTCTGAAGTCATTAATCAACGAGTATAAAAATACAAGAAAGGCGGGGGAATGGACTATAGTATCACGTGTCCCATTTATTAAGGGATCAGATTCTAAAACGACATGCACTTCCGATAACAGACCAAGACAATCTTGTTATCACATAAGCACGATTTTCTTTTCAAATTAAACAAAATGACAATCTTTAAATAAGCCCCACCCATCATGCCTTATAATAATCTTTGAAGGAATCCTCCTGGAACACTAATGGAAACAATTTCTATAAGGGTCCGGCAACTAGTTCACATTTGAAAATAAGACTGTTACAAGAAAAGATGCATATCAAACGAGAATAAATAGTATTTCGATTGAGATGCTTACCTCCAATAGTGAAGGGTTGCCTCAAAATTGTCCCTCCAAGGGGAATGGAGTAAATTTGTCCTCCTTCATATTTATCCCAACCACCAACAATAAGGCCAGTTTGCAACATGTTCTGAAAACAATTCATGATAAATGCCAAAATGAATGTAAGCATCATTGACGTGCCAATGTGCTAGTTAAATAAGAAAATGAAGTTGTAGTTTGTCTTCTCTGCACTTTTTCTTTTGAAACCAGCATTATGATCAACATTAATCATACATTAATGTGCATTCAAATGCCAAGATATCTTAAAAAAAACTATTCTACAGATTGCAGATCCATGGAATTGAATTAAGAACGAGTTGAATAATGAAAAAAAACACTATAAATAACAAATATAGTTTTTTATGTTTGCCAAACATATGAATAATTCAATTGCATTAAATCACAGACAACAGGGTTAAAATGTACCTTGTTCTGATAAGAAAATAATCTAAGTAAATTGGCCGCAACTTTGACTGTAGCAGGCTGTCCAAGTTGAATTCTGCATCGGCAATACCAGGTAGCATACAAATAAATAGTATGGCATCTTTTTGTTAGTATAAAACCACAATCCTTACCATGATTACTAAGTTATCATAGATAAAAAAAATTAAAAAAAAAAACAGCAGAAGGAAAACGTCCGAAGACAAACTCAAAATGCCAAAGTAGAAGTTAAACCATGCAATCTGGACACTTACGTGCTACAAGGTGTTAATATTTTAGAAAAATAATAGCAGATAATCAAAATGGAACAGATTCACCTATCCAATACAGAAAAAGCTTTTCATGAAGCTTCGTTAGCTAGTCTAACATACTACAGTAGACGGATAGGCCATCTAGTTCACTTGTAATTTTGTTAATTAACAATGAATATAAAATCACCACCATCATCAATATGTATAATATGGCTGACAAATACCACAACCATGAAACATATACTTCTTTAATCTAGGAGGGCCTTCAGGAGATTGGGGGCCAACTCCATCAATCAGTTTGGCTACAACAAGAGTAATTGGGTTCACTTCATCATTCAGGTAAACAACAAATTTGTAGGCCGTACTCGAAGTTACTAGGGTTGACTCAATCACATGGGCCAACTACATTGATTTGGCTTGATTATAACATATAAACTTGATTCCTAATATTTCCAACTATGTGAGTAGGTTTTGTGTGCGTGTCTGTGGGAGTGGGGAGAGGTTTTATGTTGGGTGGCAAAGGAGGGTTCCATAGAGTACATTAAATGGTAAATTTCGTATTGTTTTTAACAACTCTTAAAGTAATTATTGCCAATTAGTAATTGCCAGAACATTTGTCAACTTATTCACTTGGTTATACAAAGCATATTCTATTAGATATCCCAACCATTACCTTTAGGTGATGGTCCATGGTAATAGCTAGGAAAACATGTAAAGATTAATAAAATAGTTATTTGTTCTGCCCAATTCACCCTAACTGGCTCTCTCTAAAATCCTACTTCGGCCTAACTGTTAAGGTCTACTATTAGTAAAGTAATCCTCCTCTCAACCTAAAATCAAAATATAACTTGTTGGTGGAATTTAACATCCTCAACGGATGGAAATATTTTGTGATCAAGCACAACATAAAAAATAATATATTACCTCAAATGATAAAAATATAATTTTACTATGGACTTGATAAAAAAAACTTGAAATTTTATATTTTACTAGAAACTTTCCCCTACTCGATATATTTGATCGAGCATGATTTATTTTATTCTAGAGTATAGATTCCTCACAGGGGAAATCCCATATGGAGATCATGATTTATTTTATTCTGGAGTATAGATTCCTCACAGGGGAAATCCCATATGGTTAATGACACCCTTAAGCATTTATTTTTTAGGAAAACTTCTGATTAAAATAACGGTTTACGTTATTTCATCAAAGCATTGTTTAAAATTTCGCAATATGGGGCTTGCCTTGAGGCCCGCCTCAACGCAATCCTAGTGAAAAACGCTTGGAGGCGTAACCTCAATGCAATTCTAGTGAAAAACGCCCGAGGCTTACGCCTCCAGCTTTTTTTATGAGGCTAGCCTTGAGGCGCGCCTCGCCTTAATAGCGTGAGGAGTATACCTCAACCGATTTATATATTTTTTTGTTAAAACTTACCTAAATCCTAAACTAAAGCCTCTAATAAATCACGCCTTCACGCACCCCCAAGCCGTAGCAACTTCCTCTCAATCGATTAGGGCAGATGGATGCAGGAGTCGGAGCAAGAGCAAGGAGCGACGCCGGAGTTGGGTTGGCCGGAAGGGTCGACGCCGGAGAGGATTCAAGACGACGGTGACGAAGAGCAAGATCTGGCCGGCGGGTGCAGACGAAGATCGGAGATTTCTTTGGATATGTTTGTAAGTTTTCGAAATCCCTTTCCTTCGGTTTTGTTTTTGCCTCTATCACCGTTTGAATGAGAGGGATTTATGTCGTGAGTATGTCGGTTTGCTGAAACGTTGTGTCCGATCGTTTATGTCGGTGGGTTTGTCGGTGGGGAGCCGTTACAGTCAACAAACCTCTACCTCTAGCCCACCACCTTGGTCGTAGCCACCACCATCATAGCCACAGTCGATAACCACTTGAAAGCCGCACACCACCACCACCACCTCCTCTAAAAATTTTGGAGTATTATTCTCATCTTTATATTGATGGCAAAAATTTATGAAAAAAATAGATAGTGTGATAGTGCCCAATATGTAGCATGTCTTTTCCATATCTAGCATTTAAAATGAATTAAAGATTAAGTTGAAAAGGGTGACCTGCTGCACGTGGCCTAGAATCAATTATTAAATTTCATTGTTAATTGAGATAGCATGTTCAAATCAGGGAATCATCATCTCTAATATGCATATGTCAAGTTGCGTGCATCAACCCTTCCAAAACATGGAATAGCAAGGGCCAACAATGAACCACTCACATGTTAAAATCTAGATACAAACAAAATAAACAGAAAAGAGGCTAGGTTCATCTATCTATATATACAAACCCTCTTCAGGTCATGTGGTTAACATAGACTAATCAATACCAGTACTTAGAACAGTAACAATTTCTTCTCTACGAATTGAATTGCATGTGGTGCTATGCTCTCATGTCATGTGGTCATGTGGTGCTATGCTCACAACTCAATTAGGTTTGTTAAGTTTAAGGTTGATGACTAGGTCAATATGTGGAAGCAAGTAATTGACATTCATTTTTTGGAAGCCGACTCCACAATTTGCAATAGCCTTTTCAAGCTTCTCACTCCTCTTGGTGTTCACTTTCAATATTGTCCACCAATAAACCTAAAAACTCTAATGTGACGACTATGTATGGTTGTGTGGCCGGTTCGAGAAGACACTAAGGGTTAAATTGGGGTGTAACCTTCACAAGAATCTTCTTATGTAGGATAAAAACATATTGGTAGAGTTAATTTGGTGTTGGACTATAAGTTAGAAGTGTAACAAGGGTCGACCTAGGGCTTGAGCCTGAAATTTCAAATAGCAGCAGATTGACTTCACTTGAATAGATCTCCCAATATACTGATCCAAAAACCATCAAATCATTTGCAAAAGTTATAAGAAAGTCTAGTTGTGATCCAAAAGTTTTCATAATTTTTAGAAGAATCTAGATATTTTTTTAGAATTTATAAGTGGTTGGGTCCAAAAAAAATCCTAATCTGGCCGATTTGACTAGTTATAGTTCAGGTTTTTAATGACAAGATTTACTCCCATGGAAAATTAGGAAATTGACTAGGGAATGATAGTGGGATATCTTAAGATGTATTGTAGAGTTTTCTACAATTTTTAGAACAGTTTAAGGTCAACAAATCTCAACTGGAGCAACACTACGGTAGATTTCAGCCAAGGTTTGTCCGACAGCTATAAGTGGGTCTAAATGGGGATTTTTATGGGATTTATTTGATTTTATGGGATTTATTCGAAGACATAATTTTAGACCAAGTAGTGACAAAGCTAAACAAAATCAAAGCAAATGATTTTAACAAAATACAGAAAGAAAAAACCAATCAATCACCAAAGATGATTAGGTGATCACCAACCCCCTCTCATATAGCTGACCATCAAGCCAAGCCAACACTTAGAATTCACTCCAACTTCAATTAAAAAACATCCAACAACTTAATTACACAATAAATGATGTTTAAATATAAGTTAAAATAACAGAAAATTGAATTTAAAAAGAAGAGGAAAAGGGAAAAGAGGTTGCCCATGCTAGTACCATAACTACTCTCTCCCACTGTAGTAACCACCATAACTACTCCCTCCTTCCATTCTTGGCCATCCACTACACTCCTCCCTAGCTCTTTGTTTGGTCAGCCACTCACTCCATGCATGAGCCACTTAATTAAATCAATTAAGTGTCTTTTAATATCCATATAACATATAAAACCCACAATACAAATATCAAGTCTCACACACATACAATTACAATACCACATAAAATTTTCATACATATAATTAAGTAGAAAATATTGAATTTAAATCTTAATAGGACACAATGGAGAAAACAGAATAATGTAGTGGACCCCACGTTGGGGGATAAAGGCTTGATGTTGTTGTTGTTGTATAATTAAGTAGAAAAGATAAATGAACTTCCCTAGCTTAAGATCTTCAACTTGTTTCTAGTGATGGTTCACTATGCTTAGATATAATTTTCCTGAATTGAGCCCTAGTGGTTCGACCATTTATGTCATCTATTGCTTTTAATGCTCTTGGTGTGGCACCAAAAAAAATTATGCAGGTAAAAGAATAACTTATAAGCAACTAACCAATTATTTTGAAATCTGGATCTGTTCTAATGCACCGGTTTCTTGGCACAAATTTGTAATCTGAGAAATTTGACTTAAACACGTGATGAGGACATCCAACCATGGATAGTCTACCAGAGAAGAGGCCGATATTCCAAGGCCACGATCGCACCACTTTATTTTTGAGCTATCATTTGTATTATGTTTATTATTATTTGTGTATTTGATTTATTATCGCATTTTTTTCATTTTTACCCTCACTTGAGGGACTAGTTGTTTGTGACCCTTAGGGGCACTTTTGCCTTTTGGATTTACTATTGTAACTTGACTATTTATAACTCCTCTTCTTTGGAGAGGATAATGATGATTATTATGAAATTTCAGCACTTTTGCTCCTTTGAGAGTTTTAAGAGTTCTTGTGAGAACCTTGGTGAGATCCCTATGTGAGAGCAATGCATTACCTATCAGCCGCAGGAAGCGTCCGGGCTCATGTTCCTTTTCCACTCCAATTTCTCCTTGCCCTTTTTCCAAGCTGTCGGCCTCCACCTTATCCCCCTAACCGCCGGCCTAAACCCTCCCCTCTTCCCTTCCTAGCCGCCGGCCATTAAACCCTATTCCCCTCCTAGCCGTCGGCCACCTCACACCCCACCCTCCTTTTTCGTTTTGACTCAAAATTTCAAACTCCAAATTGATACTTTCCATTTTAACTCATTTTAAATTAGGAAGAGTTTTAAAATTCAAATCCCAATTTATTGGAATTTAAATCTCCTTTCCTAAAATAGGATGATACAATTTAGAAAAGTCCCTCACATTATGTTTTATTTGAATTTTAACTAGGATATCATTTAAACACCCTTTCCTATTTTAAGATTCCAAATATAACAAACATTAACTCCTCAAATCAAGCCCCTATATCCATGCTAGCCGCCGGCCCACCCCTCCCTCTTTCCTCTTTGAAAACTTGCCAAGACACCTTATTCTATAAATAACAAATTATGTTTGGCAAGTTTTAAGTGTCCAAAATCAAACCTCCAATCAATCTAGTCGCCGCCTTCATCCATCTCTTTCCCTTGTGGTTCTTCCCAATTAATTCCCCCAATCAATCTCTCCACTAAAATTTTAGATTTTAAGAGGATTTTAACCACACAAGTTTGCTGTCCAAAAAATTCAGAAATTCCTCTTGTTGTTGTCCCGCTGTCCGGAAGATTCCAATTAGTTGTCCAAAAATTTCAGCAAGTTCCCCTTGCTATCCTACTGTCCGGAAGGTCCCCGTTTGCTATCCAGAAGTTCCAGCACCTTGTAATTTGTCATCTATTCATGGATGGCCAATCCTGAACGTGATCACGACTTCGTATTCAACAACCAAGGGTTCGTTGGCATCTCTCGATCTCCAATCTTTGACATTGATCTAGAGAACAACCATTACATTGAAGACTACGTAGAAATAATCCTCTTCTCCCTTGCCTCCACTATCGGCCAACGACAACATCCTGTTCAGTGGCAATTTTCTTCCGAATCCTGGCAAAGGTGAACTCTCTTCAAAGTCTTATCTCTTCTAAGTTTTACTCAATTGTGACATCAAAAAGATTATGTAAGCTTTCTCGGTTTCCACCAATCATCAAAAAGTTGAGTGAGGGATCTTACATAGTGACTATTCTAAATGTTAATTTAGGGATTTCTTTCGAAAGCCCTACATTAAACAAAATCTAATTTGATTGGTTATTTTTGTGCTCTAAAACGTTGTTGTGTAACATATTGCTTGATTTAAAATACTACTTTATTGTTTTCAATCACCGTTTCAATCATGGAAGTTGACTAATTGCTCTTGCTCTTTCAAAAGCATATAATTTCAAAGGCAAAACACAACCAACGCATTTAGTCCTGCATCAACACATGGATACCCAACATCTACTATTAATCTGAATGCATTTTGAAGTATCCACATATATAGCAAGTAATAAAGAACAACCCTTGAAATCTCTTTTCTCTAACTTTCCACCTCCAAGTTTCAAAATTTTCCATGCTGGGCTTATCTTCTGACGCAAGAAAAACCCATACCAACTAAAAAAATGACAGATGGGAAACAAATAATCTAATCAGGAAATTAATAGGCTTGTTTCAAAGCTGGTTCTAGCCAAATATTGTCAAGAAACAAGAAACCATGTCACCTAATATTAAGCAAATTTTTATGAACAAAAATTACTCTATTTACTGCCACGTAGATGCAAGTTGATACTTAAATTAATATTGGTTGATTAAGTGGAAAGGAAAGTAATTAGGTATGCTCACGTATGTTGATGGAGGAAATATCGAACATAATCAGATACGATCTGAGAATCAGCAGCCTGCGAATATAGCACAAACAGGTTAAATGGATGAACTTCATTAGCAAAATGAAAGAAAAAAGAATAAACAAAATTAAGCTCACGGAATGATTACCCCATCAAATGAATCATATTGAATAGCAGGAAAAAAAAATTTTCTCAATGTAGATGAGTAAAAAAAAAATATAACAACATGCAACACCAAGGGGGACTAATTGTTCCCTTTAAAGAGAACATCATGATTCCAACCTCCTGTAAACTGATCAATGGATAATGCAAAAGCAGTTGATAACAACAGCAGTTCTAAGCATCAGAAAAAAAATTAAAAATTGGCTATAATGACTCGGAACTATACATCCTTCATACTGATTCAATCAACATAGCAAATCATGAAATTGCTGCAGACTCGTAAATGCAAAAGGTAAAAAAGAAAGAATATGTAGAATCATAAAATAAAAAGAATAACAGTACAGCCACAAAGTTCCGAAGAAAATCCATATTAATCATGATAACTAAAGTGAAAAATAAGCAAAAGGAAAGAAATAATGAAATCCATGAGATCATGAGGTCAATCATGATTGATTAAAATATAGAGTTCAGAATAGTAATAATTCAATCACGGAGTTTATTACCAACATAGGATATAGATCCCTTCCATTCAAAGTCTCTTAGGTAAAAATACATTTTTCTTCCATTAAAATCAATATAATGAGCATATTCACTCTTACTACATAAAAGAGCAAACAGAAACTATACCAATTCATGCATCAAGAACACATACTACAGATCATAATAGCATGAAATGACAACAGCTCTAAATTCGACAGAAGAATTATAATGGGAAGAAAATGCCACACTCGGAAGTTAGGTTTGAAGGAGCGTCTCTACTCTATCATGAGAGGTACTAAGTAGATTGATAACTAAATATCCATACTAACCAGCATGAAGAGTTTTTCCGATGATTTCACATACATACGCATGCAAAAATGATTTTTCCATCAACATCAACAGCATAAAGTTGTAAATTTTATGAAAAAAGTGCCAACGGCGCTGACATGCATATTGAACAGCATTAACAAAACAACGCAGCTGACTTATACGGCCAGATCATCTTTTTCAAATAATAAGCAAGTTCTAAAATCATCTAAGAGTTATAATTATAGCATTGACTTCCGCAAATAAAACAAAGAAAAAAAGCACTTGCATCATGATAAAAAAACAAAGAATAGATGATCCTCAAAAAAATTCATAATTAATAAATTGCACACTGATGTTTTAAAGACAGAAAAGGCATATCTGAATTCCATCAATTGGCCTTTAGTCCATATTTGCAGCAAGTGTGCAAATTAAGCACAAGCGGATGTAAATTTTACAAATTGATATTTGTCCATATATACAGTAAATGTGTAACCTTAGCACCTCACTAATAATCTATACTCCTATTATAAATGTTACTTGTGATTGTTCCCAAACTTGATCCTAGCCATACAAATGACACTTATAATTTTCCCCAAACTAAATCATAACCATACATTTGGCAACCCTTTGTATTCCATATGGCATCCCTACAAATTCCCCTTCAAGCATATACATTATCTTGAGACACGAAACCCAACAGGCCCTGCTCCCTCTCCCATGTGTGCGAACCCGCTTGCACCAGTCATTATCCTTCTCGCATGCAAGCCCACGTGAACTCACCCCTGGCCTTCCCTCCTCAATGAAGCTCCTTGCAACTTTCATCCTCAATGAACTGTCCTCCTCATTGAAACACCTCACAATTTCATTCATCAGCGGATATTCCTCGCAACTTCATAGTTTAGTGGTAACATATTGGCACAAGTTCTTGAGACTTCGCTTCCTTTTTGAAAACTTTAAAAATATGATTTTTCCTTTTCAATTCAGATTTTCATTCATGTATTATGCTCTGTTGATGATTAATTTGATTGTTAGCTGAAACAGAACTAACAGAAAGTTTTTTGAAACTTCAATGCTCAGCAGAAACTCCTTGCAACTTCAATCCTCGCATATTTGTTCAGTGGTAATATATTGTTATAAGTTCTTGAGACTTCACTTCTTGAGAATTTTAGAAATATGATTTTCTTTTTTATTTAGATTTTCATTCATGATATCATGTTTTGTAGATGATTAATTTGATTGTTCATTGAAATAAGACTAACAGAAGGTTCTCACTTGAGATTTTTCTTTCTTGGCATTCAGAAATAAGTCATTCCATCTTTTGCAATAAGTCCATGAAATAGTTTTCTGTAGGGTTCCCATCATTTGTTTATGATTCTTGGCAAATGATGAGGCTTAGAATTAACAAAAGAGAAGGACTGAGGGTGAATAGAATGATAATTTCAAAAGTAACATATAAGTCAGTCAAAAACTAATAAAGAGATTTTGAACGCTTCAACAGAATTGAATTATTTATTAATTGTAGGAATTGCTGACATTGAGTTTGAGTAAGTTCCACTTAATTGAAATTCAAGTTTTTCAGTTCAACTCAAGTTGACTTGATTGAAAGTTAGGCGAGTTAAATTTAAATGAACGTAGGTTTTTGAAATAGTAATTGAACACATGATCTCTTGAAAGCATCACAAAACAATTATCAATGTAGTGAGTGGTGTCTTTCTTTGTACAATTTATCAAGTATATAAATATATAAACAACTTTGTGCACGCTCAAATCTAATTTTGAACAAGCAGCTGTGAACTTGAAATCAACTCGAATATTGGAGCCAACCATACTTGCTCAAAAGTTGATAGATTCCAGACATTCTCGATTCAACAATCAAAGTAAAGTGTGTTTCAGGCCTTTTTCAAGTTTCAAATATTCTTATCAAAACTCTTTGTCATGCATTGCAGTGAGAATGTTGCTGTCCATGTTTCTTGCACGCTCATTCTGCATTTGTTTCATTTCCTTGCCTTATTGGTGCATCTGTTTCTCTCCACTGAACATGCCTAATGAGTAATATTATTAACTTTGTAGTTTGTATGCTTAAATTTGTTAATATATTTTTTGGTGTGGCATCTCAAATATTTTGCTATATTATTAAACCTGATAACAACGTTTATTTAACTTCTGTTATAATCTTTAATTTTCTACAAAGCATCAAAACTAAAACAAAGGAAAAAAACGGATTGCACTTGATGCTCTAATTTGCTTTGTCATCTTTTAAGTTTTTTGTTGAATTGGCAGACTTTGTAAGAATGTGATAGGAAATACTTGAATGCACAAGTAAACCTAACCCAAATCAAGTACCTAAGCAAAGAAAACTGCTGTCCGCAGCGAGAACACAGCCCAAACAGTGGGAAAACTGAGAAAAATACAAGAGAAATTCGTAGGAAATCAAAGCAAATACTTTTATTTCAATAGTAGACGAAAAGCACTTGCAAGATACAATTTTCCTTCAATTCGAGAGGAAGAAAATACTCTCCAAAATCTCCGGCAATGCCAAGAGCCCAAGAACAACCCTAGATCTCAAACAAAATTCAAATTCAAGATTCTCTCCCCAATTTCCTCCTCCTCTAATTAACCATAATGGATTCCTACAAATTACCTAACTAACCCTTGCATTCAAATTTTTCCCTCCCACTCATGTATTAAGCCCATCGTGGGCCCCAGGGGATTTCCGCCCCCTCTCCCGTTGTCTGGAATAGACGTGGACCGGTCTAGGCTGGACCGGTCCAGCCGGCCCCTCCTGGGCCGGCGTAACATTACTCCCCTCCCAAAAACTCACCTTGTCCTCAAGGTGAAAAGAGGGGAATTGCTCCACTCTTCGCGTCGAAATCAGGGAGGTCCTTCCATCGAATCAGCACTTCCTTATTGCCCACCTTAGCTGACCTTACCCCTATAAGCTCCAGGGGTTCTAGAATCACTTCCCAATCCTCCATCATTGATGTTGGTAACTCTGCGCTAACTGCATGCTCCCCTATAGCTCTCCTCAGCTGTGACACATGGAACACCGGATGTATGGTGGCGGAGGGCGGTAGCTTCAGGCGATACGCCACTGCTCCAATCTTCCCCAAGATCTCATAGGGACCATAGTATCTCGGAGCCATTTTCTCATTCCTCCTGCTAGCCACTGATTTCTGTCTGTAGGGCCTTAACTTCAAAAACACTCTCCCCTACTTCATATTGTATGTCTCTTCTATGGGTATCCGCTCGCTTCTTCATTATTTGTTGTGCCCTCTCAAGATGTTTCTTTAACTCGTCCAACACCCGGTCCCTCTCCTCTAAGTATTGTTCGACTGACGAGACAGGTGTATTTTCCCTTCCCATAATGTACTAAGTGTGGGGGGTCTCTTCCATAGAGCACCTTGAAAGGAGTCGTTTGGGTCGCTGAATGGTACGAAGTGTTATACCAGTACTCCACCCATGGCAACCATTTTGCCCACTTCCGTGGCATTTCAGACGCAAAACATCTCAAATATGTCTCCAGGCTCTAGTTAAGCACTTTTGTCTGTCCGTCTGTCTGTAGATGGTACGCGATGCTTCTGTTGAGAATTGTGCCCTGCATTCTGAAAAGTTCTCTCCAAAAATGACTGAGGAACACTTTGTCTCTATCCGACACAATTGATTCTGGAATCCCGTGTAATCTAACTATTTCCCTGATAAATGCTGACGCCACTGATACTGCGGTGTAAGGGTGTCGCAGGAGGATAAAATGTGCATACTTGCTGAGTCAATCCACCACGACTAAGATGACTGTGAATCCTTCTAAGCAGGGTAGGCCGTTGATGAAGTCCATAGACACTTCCTCCCATACTCTGTTCGGAAGTGCTAATGATTAGAGTAATCCTCCTGGCACCATTGCCATATACTTATTCCTCTGGCACACCTCACATTTTGCCACCATCTCCTCGACATCCTTAAACATCCCCTTCCAGTAGAGCTCTGATGCCAACCTCCTATATGTCTTATGTACTCCTGAATGACCCCCAACTGCACTGCCGTGGAATTCCTGCAATAGGTGAGGAATGTGTACTGATTTTCGCGGCATCACAAATCTTCCCTGGTAT